CTATAAGGGCGGTATAAAAGCAAAGCTAATTGCCGACCACCTGACATAAGAGACCTTTTATTTAGAAAAAAAAATTATTTTCGACGTCTTTCGACTCACCCAAATAATAGCAGCACCATGAAGCTATTATTGTCAGCTTCGGCCAGCACACTTGTGTTGCTGGTCGCAGCGCTTACCGTCACAACCTTTACGCCCAGCCTCGCCCAGCAGTCCCAGTTCATCTGCCCTAATGAAAGTGGTTATTATCCCCATGAAGACTGCTGGAAGTTCTGGCAGTGCGGCAATTGGATCGCCTACGAGCAGCCTTGTGCCCCCGGAACACAGTGGAACCAGTCGCTGCTCACCTGCGACCACATCACCGACTGTGTTCGACCGGACGGTCAGACAACACCGGCCGCTGGTGGTGGTGGGCAGAGTCCATCAACCACGGAAGAGGGCATCGGCGGCGCCTCCACCACCACCGAAGGGTTCGTCACTGAAATTTGTGATCCCAATACCACCGAAGGAAACGCAGGCGCCCAGCCAACTCAGGGCCCCTCTGACAACTTCAAGTGCCCCAATGAAACCGGCTACTACCCTCACAAGGACTGCTGGAAGTTTTGGCAGTGCGGCAATGGCATCGCCTACGAGCAGACCTGCGCCCCGGGAACGCAGTGGAACCAGACCATCCTCACCTGCGACCACATCACCGACTGTGTGCGGCCTGATGGACCCTCGCCGGCACCGACCGAGCTTCCAGCCACGAATCCAATCACTGAGGATAAGGAGACTGATGCTCCCACCCAAGGGCCCACGGAAGGACCAACTGACGGCCCCACTCAGGGACCAACTCAGCCGCCTTCTGACAACTTCAAGTGCCCCAACGCCAGCGGCTACTACCCTCACAAGGACTGCTGGAAGTTTTGGCAGTGCGGCAATGGCATCGCCTACGAGCAGACCTGCGCCCCGGGAACGCAGTGGAATCAGACCATCCTCACCTGTGACCACATCACCGACTGCGTGCGACCTGATGGCCCATCGCCGCCTCCACCTCAGCCAACAACATCGGCTTCACCGGCGACAACTGCTCCGCCACCAGCTCCCCAGCCAACAACACCCGAGGAGGAGCCCGAGACTGAGCCACCGACGCAAGGGCCGACCCAGGGTCCCACACAGGGCCCAACTGATGGGCCAACTGACGGCCCCACCCAGGGACCAACCCAGGGCCCCTCTGACGGCTTCAAGTGCCCCAACGCCAGCGGCTACTACCCGCACAAGGACTGCTGGAAGTTCTGGCAGTGCGGCAACTGGCTCGCCTACGAGCAGACCTGCGCCCCGGGAACGCAGTGGAACCAGAGCATCCTCACCTGTGACCACATCACCGACTGTGTTCGACCGCCTCAGTCGTCGTCCACCACAACATCGGCGCCAACGACGACCACCACGCCTGCACCAGCTACCGAGACGACCACTTTGGAGGTACCTGAGTGTGACCCACCTTTCATTGGGACTACACCACAGGTAATAACAGATGAAGATCTACTCCCGGATACTACCACTGAGCCACCGACGCAGGGTCCAACTGATGCTCCCACCACTGATGCGGTGCCAACTGCCGGCCCGACCCAAGGCCCAACCGAAGGTCCGTCCACCGAAGACCCCTCTGATGACTTCAAGTGCCCCAGCGAGAGCGGCTACTTCCCCCATGAAGACTGCTGGAAGTTCTGGCAGTGCGGCAATTGGATCGCTTACGAGCAGACCTGCGCTCCGGGCACTCAGTGGAATCAGAGCATTCTCACCTGTGACCACATCACCGACTGTGTGCGGCCTGATGAGCCATCATCACCACCACCACCACCTCCGGCGTCGTCTTCGACGACCAGTGCCGCTCCAGTCACCTCGACCAGCACCACCACTCCCGCTCCAGCGACGACTGAAGCCGAGGAAGTGGACGACGAGCCGAGCACTCAGCCGCCCACGGAGGCACCGCCTACCCAAGGCCCAACGCAGGGCCCAACGCAAGGGCCGACTGACGCCCCAACCGATGCCCCAACGGATGCTCCCACCGAGGCGCCCACACAAGGCCCAACTCAGGGCCCCTCGGACGGCTTCAAGTGCCCCACCGAGAGTGGCTACTTCCCGCACAAGGACTGCTGGAAGTTCTGGCAGTGCGGTAACTGGCTCGCCTACGAGCAGACCTGTGCCCCGGGAACGCAGTGGAATCAGACGCTGCTCACCTGCGACCACATCACCGACTGTGTGAGGCCGCCTCAGCAGTCCACCACAACATCGGCAGCACCGGCCTCTTCGTCGACGACAACTCCTGCGCCAGCTCCCCAACCAACAACTCCTGAGGAGGAGCCCGAGACTGAGCAGCCACCGACGCAAGGGCCGACACAGGGACCCACACAGGGTCCTACCGATGGCCCTACCCAGGGCCCAACGGAAGGACCGACTGATGGACCAACTGACGGCCCCACACAAGGGCCAACTCAGGGACCAACCCAAGGCCCCTCAGACGGCTTCAAGTGCCCCAATGAAACTGGCTACTACCCGCACAAGGACTGCTGGAAGTTCTGGCAGTGCGGCAATTGGATCGCCTACGAGCAGACCTGCGCTCCGGGAACACAGTGGGCCCAGGACATCCTCACCTGCGACCACATCACCGACTGTGTGCGACCTGATGGCCCATCGCCACAGCCGCCTCAGCCCACAACATCACCGGCACCACCGGCGACAACTGCTGCACCAGTGTCCACCACAGCGGCACCACCAGCTCCACAGCCAACAACTCCTGAAGAGGAGCCCGAGACTGAGCAGCCACCGACGCAAGGGCCGACCCAGGGACCTACACAGGGACCGACTGATGGACCTACACAAGGACCAACTGATGGGCCAACAGACGGTCCTACTGATGGTCCCACCCAGGGCCCCTCGGACGGCTTCAAGTGCCCCAACGCCACCGGCTACTACCCGCACAAAGACTGCTGGAAGTTCTGGCAGTGCGGCAATGGGCTCGCCTACGAGATGACCTGCGCCAATGGCACGCAGTGGAACCAGACGCTGCTCACCTGTGACCACATCACCGATTGCGTACGACCTGATGGGCCGTCGCCGCCGGCAACGACCACTGCGCTTCCAGCTTCGTCAACAACAACAGCTCGGCCGCCAACACAGCCACCAACACAGCCACCTACGCAGCCGCCAACCGATGCTCCCACTGATGCACCGACTGATGCTCCCACCGAGGCTCCTACCAATGCCCCAACAAACCCGCCAACTAATCCCCCAACAAATCCTCCCACAAACCCTCCTACAAACCCACCTACAAATCCTCCCACTAACCCTTCGACAAATCCCCCAACAAATCCACCCACAAGACCTCCTACAATCACAACAACGACCACCACGACGACCACCACGACCACCACGACCACCGCCGCCCCTCTGCCCGACTTCCGCTGCCCCACCGAGAGCGGCTACTACCCGCACAAGGACTGCTGGAAGTTCTGGCAGTGCGGCAACAAGATCGCCTACGAGAAGACCTGCCCGCAGTACACCCAGTGGAGCCAGAGCAT